CTGAGCCTGATTTGATCAGCTATCTTGTGATTTACATAAGAGTTGGCTGGTGCAGTTTTTTCGCAGCTTCTGAACTGTTCTTGCATTGGTTGATTCCATTAGTGTAACTTGTCAGCAATGAGGATGGTGGCTCCCTTCCCACTACCAGCAGTGTCCTCAAACTCACTCCTAAAACTTATGCTGTGTTTACATGCTGATTTATGCAAATCATTACTGGAAAGGTATCAGGACCTACAGTCAGAGTTGCTTTGATGTATATAAGCTTGGGAGTTAAATAAATTACAGACCAAGGATTTTGGATTTTTTTTTTTTTTTTCTGTTGAGACAGAGTCTTGCTCTGTTGCCTAGGCTGGAGTGCATTGGTGCGATCTCAGCTCACTGCAAGCTCCACCTCCCGGGTTCACGCCATTCTCCCGTCTCGGCCTCCTGAGTAGCTGGGACTACAGGTGCCTGCCACCATGCCCGGCTAATTTTTTGTATTTTTAGTAGAGATGGGGTTTCACTGGGTTAGTCAGGATGGTCTCGATCTCCTGACCTCATGATCCACCTGCCTCCAAGGATTTAGTTTTACCATTCTTTTCTTCTGATTTATATTTCCTTGCTATGTAACTTCTTTTTTTTTTTTTTTTTTTGAGATGGACTCTCGCTCTGTCACCCAGGCTGGGAGTAGCTGGTACTACAGGTGCACACCACCACGCCCAGCTAATTTTTTTTGTATTTTTAGTAGAGATGGAGTTTCACCATATTAATCAGGCTGGTTTTGAACTCCTGATCTTGTGATCTGCCCGCCTCGGTCTCCCAAAGTGCTGGGATTACAGGCGTGAGTCACTGCGCCCGACCCCTGTGTAACTTCTGTAGCTTTGATAAGTACCTAATTAAAGTACCTAATTAAAGGATGTAGTGACAGGAAATCTGACCCTTGACTGACTGTTAAAGTAGTCCGAATGTAGTTTTCCTTTGTTGTGAAATATTTAAAATATACAGAAAGGAATAAAAAGAATAATATTGTATATCTACTACTTAAATTTAATAAATTTTAACATTTTTGCTTTAATTACTTCAGAATTTTGTTTCTTAGAAATAAAATACAGCACAGGTTGAGCATTCCTTATCCAAAATACTTGGAACCAGAAGTGCTTTGGATTTAAACATTTTCTGGATTCTGGAATATTTACTTCCTACCTACCGATGGAACATCCCAAACCCGAAAATCTGAAATGCAAAAGGCTCCAGTGAACATTTCCCTAGAGCATTATGTTGGTGCTCAAAAAGGTTCCACTTTTGGAGCATTTTGGATTTTGGATTTTTGGGATTTGGGATGCTCAACCTGTAGTCCCTTCTTATCCAAGGGGATACGTTTCAAAACTTACCCCAAAGTGGGATACCCAAAACTGAGGATAGCACCTAACTCATTTGCTGTCATTTGGAACACATTTCTGTTCATGTCTTCCAGCCACTAATTTAATTCTTTTTCCATCCTAAGTATCACTCACTATGGCCATAACTTGTCAGTTTGAGGTGTGACAACAAAACTAGCTTTGAATTTCTTTTTCCTTCTTCACAATTTCACAAAAAGAAGATTCATTCTTACTAGATTCAGTAATAGCAGCATATGATTTTTTTTCTCTTTCCTTATTAAGTGAAGAACTTTACCTTTTCACTGAAAGGGGACGTTTTCCAGCTTCTTCAGCATATCTGAATTGCCAGCATCGCTGTAGTTGCTCTTTGAGGCCATTGTGAAGGCAAGTAAGGGTTACTGGAACACAAGCACTGCAATACGAGACAGTCGTTCTGATCGCCAAGACAGCTGCTAGGTGACTAACAGGCAGGGAGCGTCTACAGCATGGATACACAGTTTAAAACTTATGGGCCGGGCGCGGTGGCTCACGCCTGTAATCCCTGTGTTTTGGGAGGCTGAGGTGGGTGGATCACCTGAGGTCAGGAGTTCGAGACCAGCCTGACCAGTATGGTGAAACCCCATCTCTACTAAAAATACAAAAATTAGGCGTCGTGGCATACACCTGTAATCCCAGCACTGTGGGAGGCTGAGGCTGGTGGATCACTTGAGGTCAGGAGTTTGAGACCAGCCTGGCTGGTCTTATAAAAATATAAGACAGGTCTTATATTTTTAGACCTGTCTGTACTAAAAATATAAAAATTAGCTGGACGTGATGATGCACCCTGTAATCTAAGCTACTTGGGAGGCTGAGACAGGAGAATTGCTTGAACCTAGGAGGCGGAGATTGCAGTGAGCCGAGATCGTGCCACTGCACTCCAGCCTGGACAAGAGAGCAAGACTCCGTCTCAAAAAAAATAAATAAATAAAACGTATGAATTGTTTATTTCTGGAATTTCCCATTGAATATTTTTGGACCCAGGGCTGATGAGGGGTAACTGAAATTGAGGAAAGTGAAACCGGATGACAGTACAGTTGAGGCCCCTTTTGTATTTTTCTCCTCATTCCATTCTCTTTCTCCCTTATTAGAAGTTACTATTGTTATTATATTATAGACCCATTCTGTTTTTACATTTGTACTGCTTGTATATCTGTCATATATAGTATTTTATGTAAATATCTTACCGTATGCATCATTTTGCAGTTTGCTTACCCCCTCCACTTATGTTTGTAAGGTTTTTTCATATTGATACATTGACACACGAATTCTAATTTATTAATTTTACTGCTGTATAGGTTTCCCTTAAATGAATATACCATAGTTTATTTCTCAGCTCTTATTGATGGATATTTTGGTTGTTCCCAGTATTTTGCTTTTATAAACAATGATGAAGTGAAGTGAATATCTGTGTTCCTGGCTTCCTCTGTCCACATGTTAGAGTTCCTTTAGGCTGAGTATATACCTAGGAGTGAGATTGCTGGGTTGCAGTGTACAGGAATCTTCAACTTTACTATAGCAATCAAGTTGCTTTCCAAAGTAGTTGGGGAATTTACTGCCATGCTAGTAGTCTGTGAGAGTACTTGTTTTTCCACATCTTTTTATGGATTTAAAATACCTCATTGTTTGAATATTTTTGATTCTAGTGAAGTCAATCATCTTTTCCTATTTTTATTGACAATTCAGATTTTCTGTCTAAATTGCCAGTTTCTATCCTTTGTCTGTTTCTCTATTGGATTGTTTATTTGTCTTATAGGTTTGTAGAAGTTCTTTATATAGTCTGGATATTGGTCCTATGTTAATTATACAGAGATCTACTTCCAGACTTTGGCTTGTCTGTTGACTTTAAGGATGTCTTTTTGTCAAATGGAAGTTGTAGTTTGGTTCAATTAAGTTCAGATATGTCAGTATTACATTTGAGCTTAAGAAAGTCACTTCTGCCCTGGTGTCATACTGATTGTCTCGTGTATTTTCTAATTAAAGTTTTAAAGTTTTCTTTCCACATTTAGGTCTTCATTCCATTTAGACTTTAAGTGTCCAATGCGAGGCAAGGATTCTGTTTTACTTTTTTCTCTATGGATGCTAGTGGTCTTGGCACTGTTTTTTGAACAGTGTAGTTCATACTCACTGAGTTATCATGCTGCCTTTGTCACATCCATGAAGTCTCATTGATTTCTGCCTGTGTTTGCATCACTCCCACACTGCCTTTAATGTTTTCTCACTAAGACTTTATCTTTGGTCAAGTAAGACTGCTGCCTCCACCAACTCCCCACTTCGCTGGTTGTTCTTCAAAATTATTTGGGCTATTGGGATTTTACTCTGTATGAATTTTGGATCAACTTATTTAGATCCTTGAAAAAAAATCTGCTAGGGCTTTAATTGAATATGCGTTTGAAATTATGGATTATTTGGGGGGAGTACTGACATCGTTATGGTCTATTCATTCATGAAAACAATTTATTTAGATCATCTTTCATGTCCTTTACCTTTTAAATTTTTCTGTAAAAGCCTTATACCTCTGTCATTAGATTTCTTCCAACATGCCTTATAGTTTTTGTTGTCATGTTAATGAGATTTTTTTCTCTTATATTTTCTATTAGTTATTTTGATATGTGGAGATAATACTGATTTTCTGTTTTCATCTTCTTATATCCAGAAACCTTGCTGACCCCTCTTCTCAGCTGTAATAGTCTTTCTGTACAATCTCTTTGATTTTCTGTATTGTCTCATTTTCAAATAAAGATAGCTTTATTTCCTTTCCCATTGCAGGTTAAATGTCTTATATGGAGTTCAGACTTTATTCTGTATCAAATTAGGACCCATTGAAGGTTTTGAGTATAGAAGTGACATTTATTTATTTATTTATTTATTTATTTATTATTTTTGAGATGAAGCCTCGCTCTTGTCCCCCAGGCTGGAGTGCAGTGGCGCCTTCTTGGCTCACTGCAACCTCCGCCTCCCAGGTTCAAATGATTATCTTGCCTCAGCCTCCTGAGTACCTGGGATTACAGACACGCGCCACCACGCCCGGCTAATTTTTGTAGTTTTAGTAGAGATGGGGTTTCACCATGTTGACCAGGCTGGTCTCGAACCCCTGACCTCAGGTGATCCACCCACCTCGGCCTTCCAAAGTGTTGAGATTACAGGCGTGAGCCACCGTACCTGGCCAGAAGTGACTTTTAAATATTACATTTGAGAAGAACAATTTTGGTAGGCCAGAAGACAGTGTGAAGATAAATAAGAGATCAGTTAGGAGACACTGTTATTCTAGTCACAAGATACTGCAAGCCTGACCTTGGGTAATAGCAAAAGGGAAGGAAGGGCAGAGATAAATGTAAGAGCTATTTTAGAATTAGGATCAAAGGGACCAGGTAAATGAGTAAAGATGAGAGCGAAGATTCAGGCAGTCAACCGTGATACCTAGGTTTCTGCTTATAAACCTGCCGTAATATTCATAGGAGGAAGAACAGTGTTGACAACAAAACGTCTGCTTCGCAGCAAGGCTAGGATAGATATTTGGAGCCTATCTGTGTATAGCTAATCATTCTCAGAGATTTGATTTGAATAGCATTTTCCTCAGTTCGTTCTTCAAAAATCTCCATGTAGATAAGTACCAGCCTGCTGCGGAGCTTCCGGAGACCCAGAGGTTGCAGAGTGAGCTTGATGTATTAGATGCGGATGTCCTTCCGGAAGAAGGACCATTTATTCTAGACCAAAGCGCAAGCTTCAAAGACGAGGTGTTAGCCGTGGCAAAAACAAAAGCAGTGAAGAAGCAGCCTGTGACTGAGAATGTGCCATTTAGGAAGAAAGATACACTGGCGCCAGCACGGCAGCAAGTATGAAATCGTTCCTTTCTTTTGGCCCATTCGTATTAATCTGACGTTGTCAAGGCCACAGAAACTGGTATGTGGTGGAGCCAGTTCTCAGGCAGTTGGATGCTAACAGTCCTTGAGTCTGGCTATTTAAGTCGTTCATATATTTTACAAAAACATAACAATTTTTAATATTGTTACTAGAATGGAGAATTCTTTCTATTCCTGCTTTGGTAAGATCCTAACTAATATGATACCAATATCCTAATTGGGCAGGAGATTTTAAAATTCAGTTTTTTTCCACTTCTGGTTTGGAAGTGTGAGATTTGAGGGGATTAAGATTTGGTTCCTGCCGGGTATGGTGGCTCAGGCCTATAATCCCAGTACTTTGGGAAGCGAGAGGATTGCTTGAGGCCAGGAGTTTAAGACTAGCCTGGGCAACATATTGAGACCCCATCTCTACTAAAAACAAAATTAGCCAGGTGTGGTAACTCATGCCTGTAGTCCCAGCTATTTGGGAGCCTGAGGCAGGAAGATCACTTGATCCCAGGAGTTTGAAGCTGCAGTGAGCTATGATCGAGCCACTGTACTCCAGCCTGGGCAGCAGAGTAAGACCCTGTGTTAAAGAAAAAAAAAAAAAATTAGTTCCTACTGAAGATAAATATCAATCAAGAATAATTACTGCATATTAAAAGGGCATCCTAGGGTGAATGCTTTCTAATACGGCTTTGGGAACCAGCAGGGTACAACTTGGTTTAAAACTACGTTATATTTTAAACTTCTGTTTAAAACTTACTTATGGCCCTATCAGTGGAAAACTGGCCAAAAGACCACCTCCTGGTCGAATACCCTTATTGTATTAGTGACATTTGGTGGCTTTGCCCAAAGGCTTCTGTAGCAAATCTGTTTATTTTCAGGTGGCCTCCAGAAAAGGAGAGTTAGCACTTACCACAAGATATTGACAGATAATGGATTAGGATCAAGTCTGTTTATTCCCAAACTTCTATGGCAGGGGGCGGCGATGAATCATCGAGATGTCAAGGTTGAACCTGTAAGAATTCAAATGGGTGCTCTTCTCCAGAGACAGAACCTCATTCTCTATAACATTTTTTAAGTAGCTGTATTCATTCTATTTAGACCTAAGGCCCAGAGAGGTTAAGTATTTTAACGAAGAATGTTTTACACATTACTTGAGCCCAGGAATTCTAGACCAGCCTGGGCAACACAGTGAGACCCTGGCTCTACAAAAAATAAAAAATTAGCCAAACCTGTTATTTCACATGGTATCTCACACCTGTGATCCCAGCTACTCAGGAGGCTAAGGCAGGAAAATCACTTGAGCCCAGGAGTTTGAGGCTGCAGTGAGCTATGATCATACCTCTGCACTCCAGCTGGGGCATCAGAGTGAGACCCTGTCTCTTAAAAACAAAAAAAGAAAAGAAAAAAGAAAAATAGTTTAACAATATGATACGAATTTTTTTTTGTTTAGGAAACTAATTGTAAATAAATAAAAATGTATTTTATATATTGTTTATATGTTTAAAGGTGTCAGGCAGAGCCAGGGATTTCAATTCCACACCCTCCACCCCGCCCCCTACCATGGTTGTTTCAATGAAATTTACACCCTCCCCCAAATTTCTGCCACAGTGCTTTCTACTCAGGTTTTTCTGAATCGATACATGAATAACATGGAGAACTTGGAGCTTCAGTGAGTCAGAGGTTGAAACCATAGTTTCTTTGATACTTGTTTGGCTTTATAATTCTTACTTATCTTTCACAGGGACTCCGCAAAGCTGAAAGAAGTAGACAAAGCCAACTTCACAGTAAAAGCAGAGTGCAGCAGACAACAGTTTCATCCAGATTAAAAATGAACCGGCAGCCTGTGAAAGTCCGCAAGGCACCATGGATACCCCCAAATCCCACATCCCCACCAGCGTCTCCTAAATGGTATGTGAAAACTCAAGGGACCGTTTGTGTATGTGATTCTCTTTTTCCTCCACATATCAAAGGCAACCTATAGCTTATAAGGAGCAAATGAAGTAATAGCCTTAATTTTTTCCATTAAACAGAAATGCTTTTTTGGGTGAGTCATACATGAGAAGTCTTTGTCCGGAAGCTTGTTAGTTCCTTCTTCTGCCTGACTGTGGTTGGAACACCCTTCCATGGGCCACCCCAACACCGGGACATGTGTGATTGTATGGAAGATGGTGGGCTTCCCTTCACTTGTCTCTTCTGCCAATAGATTCTAGTAACTTGAGGCCAGGGACTGTGTCTTTTTTATATTTGAATGTCCAGTGCTAGGCACATAGTAGGCATTCAGTATATCTTTGCTGAGTAAATAAATATATTAAAATAATTCTAACTCCTAAGTCAAGATAATTATGAACTATAAAGCCATATAGATCTCACCAACACTGTCTTAGCTGCAGGGAGCAATTAGGGTAATGTTGACGTTACTGTCTTGTCATCCCCATTCAGAGCACATTAGAATGAGAAGCTGCCATTCCACAGGGTTAGAGAGGAGAGGAGCAGGGTCCGGTTAGGTGGAAATAATCTTTGGGGGAATCGGTTGAAGATAAAGGGGAGCTTGTTTACCGTGAGACAGTAGTTCTTGAAAACACAATGGAAAGGACCAGGAGGTGGGACGGAAGAAAGGAAGAAGTAAAAAGCAGTGATGTCAGGGGAGAACAAGGGAGAAGATGGGTGATTGCAGGGTTCTGTCTTTGGAGCCATCAGAAGTCAGGGTGAGCAGCCCGGTGGAAGAGAAGCCCCCTAAGATTCCAGGTGAATGTGAAGGAATGGCTGTGCTCATCCATCCACTCTTATTTTCAAGTTAAGGAAACAATGTTTAGATAATTTAATGTCTTATTCATGTAACAGCCAGACCTAAAATCAGGTCTTCTGATTTCATAATGTGCTTTTTTTGTTTTTATTACTCTATTCTGTTTTCTGTATTTTTGTATACAAGTATTAATATGGAGATGTACATTCAGTTGGTAAGCTCAATGGCTGAAGTTTGTATTACAGACCAAATGTACAGTGGACTGTCTTTTAGAGTGCATGTGTGGTGGGTAGAGGAGGGTGGGTGAGGCTTCCAGGCTCACAGTGCTGTTGGGCCTTATAAAGATACAGAGTTGCCTTATAATATGAAATGTAATTAGTGATCCAAATTTATATATTGTAACAGAGTTTTGTTGACACTCACCCAATATTCTGTAATTGATCACTGTTTCTCATTTAAAATGGTGATGGCTTCTTTGAAGCAAAGAAGAATTTCTCCCCTTTGACACTGCACCTGAGTGCAGGAGGATCTTACTTTTCTTCACATTCAGCTTCTACTGTAGGGCCCCGTGCTACAGATCACCATTAATTTAATGCTGTTGTCGTCTCTGAGCTGGCACCTACTTGGATGAGTCATTGGATACAGAGCGAATGATGACAAAGGTATGCTTTTCTATTTTTTTCAGTGCCGCATGGCTAAAGGTGAAATCTAGCCCCAGAGATGCCACCAAAGAGCCTCTCCAGCCAGAAGGTCCTCAAGAGGAAAGTCACCTGACAGGTGCTGTTGAGCACGAAGCAGCCAGGTTTGTGCTGGTGTTTTTCAGATCTTTGAGAATTAAAGAGCTCCTTTTACATAGACATGGAAGTGATCCCTTTCTTCTCTTTCCTATGTTTAAAGTTGGTTATTTAAAATGTAGATTATTTTTAAAAAATAGAATAAATACATAAAATGTAGTTTATTAAAGTTTTCAGTCAAACTATGTAGCTTATAGTGAGCTCTTCTATTTTTTCTTATTCATTCATAAATTATATATGTGTCAATTATATATCAGTTGCTAGTTTTGTATATGACACTGTTATGAGCTCTATGGAGACTTTAAAAAGGGCAAAAAGGCCATAATCCCAGCCCTTGCTTATTTATAGTCAATAGAGAAGTTATGTAGTTAACTATAATTTAAGATAGAACATGGTATGTAACCTAGGAACTGAGAGAGTTTAGAAAGGGGAGAGCGTTACTTCTTGCTGCAGAGGTCTAGGCTTCATGGATGCAGATGGAAATTAAACTAGGACCAGAAGAACAGGCAGGATTTCAATATGGGAAATGAGATGAGAACATTCCATAGGAAGAGAGCAGTGAAAACAGGTTTCTCTGTATTCATTTGGCTGAAATTGTTCTTACAATTATGGGAAAGTAAAAATGAAAGCAGTCCATTAAATAATTTGACAATATTCATATATCCAAAACCAAAGGAATCAAAGCACTTTTACATACAACAGAGTTGTTCACAGTTAACTTTTCCTTTTTGTTTTTATTTGACTTCACTATGCCTGTATGGCTCCTGGGGGCTCACTGTTTGTCTAAACTTGAAGGTATAGCAAGGGTTTTGTTTGAGTCTAATAAGAAACCCTAAGTACAAGTGATAGCTAGTTTTCTTGAGAACCTTTGAGACAGGTTCTCATTGCGTTGTGCATCAATGTCTTTTGACATGGAACACGTTCTAGAGAGCTTTAGGGGTACGGAGAGGTTATGTTACCTACTGAGTACCTTAATAGAGCCAGGATTGGTGCTCTGCAGGGATCCTGACTTCTGGTCTGTTTCTGTGATGATGGCACCCTGCAGTGTCGAGGCAGAATTGGTTTGACTCTTGACTGTCTGCTAGGCTCGCTTGGCTTGATGCTGAAACTTCCAAAAGATTGAAGGAACTAGAAGAATTAAAAGCCAAGGAAATTGACAACATGCAAAAACAGAGGTAAATATTTGCTCCTGAGGCAGGAAAAGGTAAGCAGGCCTGTTCTACATCTCTATACATTATGATAAATAGAGATTATTTAGGCCTAGCTACACTCCTTATGTGTATTGGCTTTCTACCTCCTTAAAAGACTATGAAGTCACTTAAGAAGCCAAGTGGGGAGCCAAGACTGGAGCTCAGGGGAGTCCTTACTCTGCCTTGAGGTGAGTTGGGGTGACTCTTGATACTGTTCTCTAGGCTTGACTGGCTTGATGCTGAAACTTCTAGAAGAACAAAGGAACTGAATGAGCTCAAAGCCGAAGAAATGGATAGACTCCAAAAATTGAGGTATGTGTTTCCTTCTTAGGAAGAATAGTGGATGTTTGCCTGTTCTAATTGATCTAGATCTAGCAACCAACCTGGACTGTTAAGGCTTAACTTCATTACATGAATGAATGAATACTTGCTTGTCTACCTGTATATTATACCATATTTTTTGCTAGGAAATGCCTGTTTTGTGTGGAGTTTGGAGGAGAACTGAAAAAGAATACGTAATTGTGGAGAAGTTCTGTCTGAAAGATCAGAGTCTTATGTGTATTTGTTTGGACTGCCCTCAAAGGTACTTTTCTCTAGCCAGATGTCAGCCCTTCCAAGGGCAGAAGATTAGTATGATGCACGTACATATTCTGCTCATGTGAATCAACATATAGCTACTTTAGTTTCACGTGTTAGCTTGAATGCAGGCTATGGTTTTCCAATGCGGTTCCCTTTTTCTGTTCCCTCCATAAGTGTTTTCAAGACCGTGGGCACTATCGGAGTAAAGAAGCTTGTTAAAAGATTTAGTCCAGCTGCTGCTGCAATTGCCTCATTTTTCCAACTCTGATAGTTCACCCTATGGTCACATTAACAGAATACTCTGTGAAACCTGTGTGCATTCTGTGACCATTCATGATGTAGTGTTCAGTCTCAGGTTAGAAGGGCTGTGGGTATATTGTTAGAAGGCCAAGACTTTTTGTCTGTAGTAAAGATTTCAAGTCATACAATCCCAGAATCTTGGGATTTGAAGGATCTTTTCCCCGGAGCTGATGCTTTTGGCTCCTCTCTACTGTCTCCACTAAGGAACTGTCCAGTGTATTTACACACACCCTCTGTGATGGGATAGTCACTACTGTCTGAGGGAATCCATTTCATGGTCATTTATCGCTAAGAAGGTGTGACCTTAGGCTGTGCTGAAATTTGATTCTCTGTGACTCTTACGCACTTGTCGTTTGGGCCATATAGCAAAAGCTTCATCCTCTGTGTCCCGTTTATTCCTCTGTGTGTTTTTACTTCAAAAATTAAACATACCACACACACAGAAGAATATACTAAATGCACATATGCAATCCAAAATATTACAGAATGAACATCCACGCACCACCATCGTAAGCCAAGAAATCAACCATTGCCACTGCTACAGAAGTTTCCAGCATATCCCTCCTCAGTTGTATCCCCTTTCCCCCCAGAGGCAGCCACTGTCCTGATTCTTGTGTTGATTTTTTCATTAGTCGTCTTCATAAATCTGTCATCTATGTGTGTATCCCTAACAATATCTTGTTTAATTTTAAAAACTGAGAAACAGGCACAAATCTAACTGAACATGCAAAGGGGCAGTGTTGCTGGTAGTATCAGATGAAGACTCCTAGGGGAAGACAGGTTGAACAGAGTCTGGATCTTAATCTGATTTGTGCTTTCATGAGTATTTGTAGGTGCCCCACTCAGGAGGTCACTGAGCAGGGTCAGGAGTGAGTCCTGCGCACACAGGGCGTCCTCCATCTAGGGGGCCTGTCGGTGAGCCAGGTCCATTGGACTTCCGGAGGAAGCCTTGTCAGGAGAGGGGCTGCGCCGTAACACACGGCTTCTCGGCTCGTTCTGGTCAGCTACTGTGGGGATGGGATGAGTATCCTTAGCAGACAGCAGGTCTGCAGGGAGTAGCAGAAACTTCATCAGCAAAAGGGCAAGACAAGCCAGGAATCTAGGCTTAGACCTCCCATTTCCCATATTGTGTTGTAATCTTCTTCAGTTTACTTGCTTGTTTTGATGGAGCACGTGCTATTGTAACTGCTTCTTTTTTTTTTTTTTTAATTAGAGACAAGGTCTCACTATGTTGCCCAGGCTGGTCTTGAACTCCTGGGCTCAAGTGACCCTCCCGCCTTGGCCTCCCAGAGTGCTGGGATTAGGCAAAGGGCACCACACTCTGCTTAATTTAGCTTCTTGAGAAAGGATAATGGGAATAAATCCTTTCAGACCTTTTAGGTCTGAAAATGTCTTTGTTTGCTGATAAACCTTACTACTCTCATATTTGCTGGTAGCCTTACTGGGTGTAGAAGATTATTTTTATTGGAAGTTTTTAATTAAACTTCTTACTGTGAGGTAATCATAGAGTCACACGAAGACCCAGTTTCCCCAAATGGTAGCCTCTTGGGAAAATACATCTCAGTACTACAACCAGGATATTAACATTGGTATAGTCCAGATACAGAACCTTCCCACCCCCAGGAGCCCTCATGTTGCCACACGCACTTCTCTCCTACCCCGATTCACTGCTTGGCTAAATATCTCCTGGCAACCACTCATCTGCTCTCCCTGTCTATAATTTTGTTATTTCAAGAGTGTTATTATAAGTGGAATTGTATAGTATGTAACTTTCGGGGACTTCTTTTCTTTACATCATTCTCTGGGAATTCGTGGAGCTCATCACATGTGTCAGTGGTTCATCCCTTTTGTTGCTGAGTAGTATTCATGGTGTGGGTACAAACAAACCGTAGTTTAACCATGTACCTCTTCAAGAACATCTGAGCCTGTGGTCCCAGCTATTTGGGAGGCTGAAGTGGGAGAATCACTTGATCCTGGGAAGTTGAGGCTGCAGTGAGTCACGGTCATGCCGCTGCACTCCAGCCTGGGCAACAGAGCAAGACCCTGTCTCAAAAAAAAAAAAAGAACACCTGAGTTCTTTCCAGTGTGGGGCTATTACGCATACAGTTCTGTAAACAGTTGTGTACACGTATTTGTGTGAACGTAAGTTTTCCTTTTTTCCTGGATAAATGCCCAGAGGGCAGTTGCTGGGTTGTGTGCTAGTGGTGGTTTGTTTTGTTTTCTTCCAAACTGCCATCCTGTTTTCCAGAGCGGCTCTGTCTGTTCCCACCAGCAGTGTTGGAGGGATCCAGTTGTTCCGCATTTCTGCCCACACTTGGTGTGTCATTCTGCTTTCCTGTAGGTGTTCTGATGGGTGTATAGTGACCTCTGAACATCTTTTCATGTACTTGTTTGCTCTCCACTCAGTCTTTGCTGGCATGTGGCCGTGGGTTTTTCTGCAGTGTTTGGCTGCAGTCGAGCAGTTATTTTCTAAGTTTTCCATCTTTCTAGACTGCCCCTTTCTTGGTTCTTTTGATAGAGAGAGCAGACTTTATTTGCATTGGAGACTTCTTTTTTGTCTGTGCCTATTGGTGTTTGGGTTGCCGGCTTCTCCGGTACCTACTCTGGGATATATGAGGCAAAGAGAAATCCCAGAGAACTCACTGCTCTGTCATTCTTTTGGTCCCAGTGTCCCGCGGTGATGTGCCTTCTCTACTTCTCTCCAAGTCCTCTTAGGTTTGCGTATATTTAATGTCCAGGATTCTTAGTTGTAATTAACAGGAAGAAGAGGGGAAAGTACATTTTTTCAATCTCTTCAGAAGCAAAAATCTGAGCATTTCTGCTCATTGTCTTATTTCCAGTGAGAAATCGGAATTGCTCTTGATCCTTCTCTGGAGACTCACAGACTCTGCTTTCTCCCCTGGGTAGCTCAGATTCATAATGATAGGACTTAATGATGGGTGTGTTTTCATTCATCAGTAGACCTTTCAGTCTGGCAGTTTATTTCCTTTAATTCTGAGAAGTTTTCGTGCTTTATTTTGTACTTTTTTTTTTTTCTTGTCTCTGTTTTCTCTATTCTTTCTGAAACGCCTGTTCTTTGATATTGGACTTCTTTGTTTGGTCCTCTGATTTTCTTATCTGTTTCTTCCTGTTTTCTTTCTCTCTTTCTCCGGTTCTACCTCCACCCCTACCCTCCCTCAGTAGGAGATTTCCTCCAACTTTAACGTTTAACCTATTGAGCTTGTGATTTCTGCCACAGTGTTTAAATTTTAAAATTTAAAAAATGTTGAGAGCTCTGTTATATTCTCCAAATATCTCTTACTCAGTAGTCTCATATCCTTCTTTATGGATACAGTGCTGTTCTCTTTCTGAATATATTTACACGTTTCCCCTGCCTTTTGACCTACATCATCTTTTTCTTTCCCTCCTCAGATACCTAGTAATCTTGGCTATCTTCTCATGTTTAAATGTAGGGGGAGTGATTACTGATCAAAAACAGAGTATGTGGGTTGCCATTTGTATTTTGGTTTTTAAAATAATTGTTTCTATTGTGGTATAATTTACATATAGTAAAATGCGAAGAACTTAAAGGTACAGTTCAATGAATTTTGACAAATGTATGTCCCTGGGTAACCAACACACTAATCAAGATAGATAATTTGTACTTCAACCTAGAAAGTTCCCACATGTCCTTCTTGGTCGTTCTCTACTCCACACCCCCATCCCTCACAGGGGCAGCTGCTTTGATTTCTTTTACTGTAAGTAGCTTTGCCTGTTCAGACTTTATATGAGTAGAATTATCAAGATCTACCCCATTGTGTCTGGCTTCTTTTGCTCAAGAAAATGTTTGCAATTCATCCACGTTGTGTGTGCATCAGCATAGTTCATCCATATTAGTGCAGAGTAGTATTCCAATGTGGGAATACACCACATTCTGTTTGTTCATTCTCTTGTGAATTGACATTTGGGCTTTCCCATTTATAGTTAGTATGAATCAAGCTGGTACAGACATTCCTGCACAAGGCTTTTTGTAGATATATGCTTTCATTTCTCTTGGGTAAATGCCTAGGAGTATAATTTCTGGGTAATAGGATAGGCAGTTGTTTAATTTTATTAAACAAGCCATATACATTTTCCAGAGTAGTAGCATTTTTTACTCCCATCAGCAGTGCATGCGAATTCGTTTCTACTGGTTTCACATCCTTGCTAACAATTGAGCTTGTCAGTCTTTTAGTGATTCTGGTAAGAATGTGGTGGGATCTCCTTGTGATTTTAATTTGTGTTTCCTTGACGAATGATGTTGGGCACCTTTTCTAGCGCTTATTGTGAAGTGTCGGTTCAAGTCTTTTGCCCATTAGAGTTTTTCTTAAGTGTTGATTTGAGTTCTTTGTATTTTCTGGATATGAGCCCCTTGCCAGATATGTGTGCAGCAGATATTTTCTCGCAATACTATGGCCCACCCACAGATCTTCGTAATGGTGTCTTTTGATGACTAAAAGTGTTAAATTCTGATTAAGACCAGTTTATCAATTTTTCTTTTCTGGTTAGTCATTCTTAGTGAACTAGCTAAGAAACCATTGCCTATGTTAGGGTCTCAAGGATTTTCTCTTATATTTTCCTTTAAGTGCTTTATAGTTTTACCATTTATTCTTATTTCTATGATTCATTTAGAATTAATTTTTGTTTATGAGATGAAATACTGATCAAAATTCATTTTCTTTAATGGATATCTGGCTATTCCAGCACCGTCTGATGAAAGTAACACCTGGACTATTTGTTAAGGACACTTAGGTTGGTCTTCAGGTCTTTCCTTTGGCCTGGGTCAGACTGCCCGGAGAAGTTTTCTGATCTTTGGCCCAGAGAGTAAGAATCAGGATGTTGCTATCCTAGGAGCCGAGCTGGGGAAGGGGGCTGTGAGTCTAATAACACAGCATTCAGCCTGCATACGTGACCCCCGCCTCTTTTCGGTATGGTACCTACAGCCTCAACTGTGATTGGGTGCCCCTAGTCAAGAGACCTTCACACAGAGAATGAGCCATCAGACTTCTCCTAGAGTTGGAAAGAGGCGGCTGTATAGTGTGTGAAGTAGGGAAAGGGATCTAGGAGTCTAATTTCTCAAACGTCATTTGGCTCTTCTCGTCAGTTTTTAAACCACCCCCTCCCAGCTTAGCCCAGGCCTAGATGTACCTGGTACTACCAGTCGTGTGCCTGGTTAAGTCAGCAGTACAAATTGTGTGGGTTCTGGTTTTTCCCACTACTGGCCTTAGAAGTCAACTTCCTGTCTATGGCCATACCACCCTGACTGCACCCGGTGTCGTCTGATCTCGGAAGCTAAACAGGGTCGGGCCTGGTTAGTACTTGGATGGGAGAAGTCAGCTTCCTCAGTTCAGCTAAGTTAGTTATCGCTTTTGTCCTTTGTTTTCCAGCACCATTTTTTTCTTCCTTAGCCTTGTGGGTGTAAAGCTAACTCTGTGGTTGTTTTAGTGGAATTTGGAGAGGGAACAAAATTAGTTTCTCTTGTTCAGTTTACTATCCTCTTTAGCTGTTAATGGCAACCATTATTTTTTTAAAGTGTACTGAGTGCCTAACACACTTCAGATGTTACCTAAATCTTTGTGCATAAAGTAAGGCCTAGGACCAGCACTGTCGCATCACCTAGGAGCTTGTTGGAAATGCAGACTCTCAGGCCTTACTCAGACCAGCTGAATTGGAATCTGCATTTTCACAAGATCCCCAGGAGATTGGTGTGGCCATGAAGGGTTAGAGAAGCTCATGGTCATTTTATCTCCCTTCACCTGGAGTGGTAAATAAATATGCAAAATAGGATATTTTATTGCCTTTGATTTTAATTTTCAATTTTTTTTCTAAATAGTGTTTCTGCCACCCAGTTAGCAGACAAGGTAGAGGAGGCAGTTCTGGATCGTTTGAAGCCTCTCTTGATCAAGGCCCAGGTAATCTAGTTCATTTCATTTGCTTGCTTTTTGGAAGTTCTAGATTTAAAATGAGTTGCTACAGAGGTTTCATTGATCCTTTATAGGGCTAAGTGTCTCTGTGGCAGCTGGAAGATACCCCCAGACCACCACACACTACTGATGTGCCCTCCATTGTGGAGACGGGATAGAGATAAAGGGACAGGGGGAAAGTCCTCCTTTTGAGAAAGTTGAGATTTTAGTTTGGGAAACAAGTTGGGATTGTAATCCCTGTTCCAAATGAAATAGATCTGTTGGTGAAGTCAGTGTTCCAATAGCAGCTTTCACTCGAATACTGTGTTTTTTCACCTCAGTGGTTTGGAATGATGGGCTCTATTTTTCCAAAGGAGAAAGATGTTAGGACAGCTTCTGTGCACAATCCAGTACTTTCTTGAGGATGAAATTATAGATGGTCTCACCAAGAGGTTGTGCCATCCTCCCATAAGCAGTAAGCTCAATTCTGTAGCCAGACCCTGTAGATCCACCCTGTAAATAGAAACAAACTTGTGTGTATGACTAGATGAGGCCACAGAAGAATATTGTAAATTTAACTGGGATGAATGACATTCGGGATCCCTAAATAGGCCACTGAACTTGTCTATTCTTAGTTAGAGAAATGTTAAATTTGTATTAGAGTCCATGGAAATCTCAGTAGCATAGAACTAGAAAGACTCTTAGAAATCAAGTAGTCTTGAGCTGTAGACTAGCTGAAGAAAAAAAGAAAAAGAAATCAAGTAGTTCAACTTCCTCATTTGATCATTGAGGAAGCTGTGGAACAGGGAGGTTGAATGACTTGCATAAAGCATGCAGCTATTCTGACAGTGTTTACAGAGTTGAGGGAAGAAAAAGGCTGGAAAGCCAAGATCAACACGTGGCATTTGTTTCCATGAAGACAAAGTGCTTGGAATTGCTGCAAAAAGTCTAATGTAGCTAAAGCTGATGAATCGTTCCACACAAGTTATTCTGGTAATAGAATTCATTTGTACTAATAGGAGCTGTAAGTTTTTATACTCCATGAATGTATTTGTCTGTTTTAATAGAGAGTCAATTCTGCTACAGAAGCACATACTCATTTGAAGGATGGCTCGTCAGTAAACACAGCGACAGCCCAGCCTGCACAGGAGGTATGCGTTGTGTGGTGCTGGCGTTCTGTTATTATTGCTTGATAATGTCTTTAGTTGTAATGGAAATGAAATACAGATTACTTTGCAAACACTTGATTATCCTGCTCGAGAAGTATGAATATTATTTTTCACATTTGGCATGTTAATTCTTCCAGTGTATTTTTAGTATTTAGACTTAGGTCAGCTTTGCAAACAGGACACAGAAATCTTAGAGCCACAGGTTTGTGTTAGTGGCTCTGTCCCTCTGGATCACAGAGTGTCGGTGCCCTGTGTGGCCCTGAATGTTGATGGCCTGCGGCAGAAGAATGGCTGCCCTCATTTCCTTTCATTCAGCCTAGTTTCACTCATTACTGTCCTAATTTTCTTTATACTTGGGGCCTAATATTTATTGTTAGGCAAGCATGTTTTGAGTGCCTAATAGGTGACCAGTATCTGGCCTAGTAGAGAGAAAAAGGTGGCCCAGGAAAGAAATGAAAACATTTGAGAAAAATAAAAACACATTTTCTTGTTGTCCACTCTGTACTCTTCCTCTGGAGGACCTGTTTTTAATATTTGTAGAAATGTTTCTGCCTTGCCTAGACTTAGAGCTGCAGAGCAGAAGGTGCAGGTTACATCCATTTAATCTTTGTGGAGTTTAGAAAGATATTTATTGCTTTAATTGCCCAGAGCAAGGAAAGGAAGCTTCATTCCAACTTCCTTCTTAGGTTTCAGAGCAGAAGGAAATTGGAATGAAGCTCCATTGGCCCAGTGACCTTAGGGACAGGAAGAAGGTAGATTTCAAGAATGTGTCCCTGTTCTGATTATTAAGCAATATTTCAGCTGTAACATATTTTCATAATCTCTGTGATTATGACTTTATCGTTCCAAGGTTTTATGACATAATCTGATGTGAGGTGAGGCTTCTAAGACTGAAAGCTAAAAGTCAACATTTGGCCATTACAGATTTAACTGTGTTAGGCTTGGTGTTTTATGCAGCTTGGCCACTAAATGATATATATTTTTTTTTTCTAGAGGAATAGTGAGGCTAACATTTAACCCAGAGAGGCCACTCCATACTGCACTTTAATATGAAAGGAAAATGAAGTGATTATGAATGCTGGCAGTGAAATAGACATGTTTGAGTATACTAGGAGTGATCAACCTTGTATATTAGAATTATTTTGTAGGCATTACATGATGTTTACCACAATTTATTGAAACAGAAAAGTAACTCTCTAGTATTTAGAATGCTGGGCTGTTAAATAGCAGCTTCACTGCAGAGTATTCCAGGCAGCACCATCAAGAGTCAGTGTTTACAAATTGAATGAAAACAAACAAAAGCAAACAAACTCATCAAAGTTGGCATGGTGAAGGAGAAAACTGTTTTTACTATGTTAACTTACAAAAGAGATGGGAGACCTTGAACACAAATTCTCTGTGTTCTCATCTTTAAAATGGAGGAGACATTTGCAAGTAAAATACAACTCTCTGTAGATTTACTTATAGGCAAGATTTTCTCTCATATCCGGAAAAAGCTCTTGTAAAGGTACCATTGTAACATATCTGTCTATTGCTGCTACTATTGTCATTAACTAAACTTGCACATGAAATATATATTTTTCCAAAATGTATGAGTTATGTTAGAATTAAAAGTTATACATGCATATGGCCAAAATTTTAAATAATTCAGAAGAAGTATATGAAAAGTTACACCTCCCCACAAGCAGGTGCCGATTGCTGTTCTGTATTCTGCTTCTTTATTTATAATATATTTTTGTGCTCTTTTTGTATCATTGCATTGAGACCTTCCTTGTCTTTTTTGATGGGACATAGTATTTTTGGTGGTCCATTCTTTATAGATGGAAAATATACATATGCAAGCATTATCGGTTGTCTCTGATTTTTTTGTAATTTTATTATATTGGTTATTGAGTTTGATTTTTATTTAACTTTGATGAAGGTTGAACATTTTTTCATATCTTTATTGGCCATTAACATTTTCTTCTGTGAATCATTAAAGGTTTCTTAAATTGCTGTAGCTGTAACCATTCATTGAGTGTCTTATTTCATGCCCAGCACTATGCTAAGTGTCTCAACATGCAAGCTCTTATGAAATCCCTACAGCTCTGAAATACAAGATTATTTCCATATTACACATGAGAGGATTGAGGCCCGGAGAGGTCGAGTAAACTTGCCCAAAGTTGCAGGCTTATGAGTGGGCAGAACCAGAATTTAATTCTAGAAATATTTCATCCCATTGCCTGATATAATTAATTCCTCCAGCAAACATTCTTTACAAAAGCCTCTTTCAGGGCAGATTATAAACATGTATTCAAATCAAGAGAAATACAGAGCATGTAAAATTGCTTTGGAAACTGGAAAGTGCTTTTTGAATGTACAACATAGCAGGTCAAGAAAGGCTGGTATAGCTCTCCCAGACGATAGGTACAGAGTTTCAAAGACAAAGAATCCTGAACTTTGTGATGTCTTATGAACAGACGTTTTCACAGAAGCACTGCACCAAAAGAGAATCGTTACATCCTCTGGAATGTGTGATGTGTAAAATATTGGACATTCTCCTGAATGTAGCAAAAAGAAGATATTTGTTCTACCAACTGGAAAAACAGATGATAATGATAATTTACATGGACAATCATGGTATTACTTGGTTAATGCTATCATTTAAATGACTGTGATAAAAATCGTTCTGATGTTACTGCTTTTGATACTTACTGACTTAGGAGAATCTTGTTTTACCGTAGAAACTCTGCCATTTGGATCTGTGTGCTGTTGGTTTATTACGATTAACAATAATTTTCATGTTTTTCTGTTTGCATTATATTGCCTTCCCACCCCTAATCCACCCCACGCCTCTCCTCCTCACCCCACCCCACCCCACCCCACCCCATCTTGTAGGTTGCCGCTGTCGATTTTGAATCCAACAACATTCGTCGGCTTGATGATTTTTTGGAAGATTCTGCCCATGAGCTCTGGGCTGTGACTCATGCTAAGATCTTGGGGTCTGAAACCTTAGCCACCGTTGAGGACAGCAAGGATAGCCCAGATCTGGAGATCATGATGCGCAGAATGGAAGAGATGGAAGTAAGGTCTGGGGCCCCGGGTCTGGTCCGCCGCTAGGGACTGGCTTCTGCCGAGTGCAATTTCTCCTCATGCCTCTGCAGCTTCATCTGTCAGAGTCACACAGTCCCGGTTTTAAATCCCTGCTCTATTGCTAACTAACTGTATGACCTTGGTATTGTCAAGCCCTCTGATAAGTAGGGAGTTTTAAGGATAAAAAGAGGCATAGAGGATTCAGCACACTGCTTGCCATGTAATCCAGTAAGCGACCATTGTTATTATCCCCCTGATACCACTGATGTGTAATTCCAGAAACTCTGAGACCGGGGCCCGGGCCCACAAATGGAATCATAGACTTTTGCATCTGTCAGCTTGTACGTACTCTTCAGTTGCCTCCTCTTCCCAGCTGTAGTGTGATCCTGTCAGATCACAGATAATTTTATCTTCTTCAATTTCTGTGATACTGCTTTACCCACTCTAACCCCTGGATTATTCAGTGCAGGAAAATGAGGTATAATAAGGAAGTAAGTGACATGGCCAAGGTCACAAAAAAATCCTGGCAGAGCCAGAACGAGAATCCAGGTCTCCTGACTCTCAATTCAGCATTTTCTTTTTCATTGCACCATGATTAAATCTAATTTCTGCTTTGCTGCTAAATAGAAACATTAGAGGAAAAACAATTTTTCTGGGGGGGATTTGAAAGTTTCAAGAATGCAGTTTACCCCAGTCTTGAAATCTCCCCTTGGCAATAGTTGTCTAGGCCGGGGGTGCTCAAAACAGTAGCCACTAGCCACAGGCACTTATTAAAATGCAAATTAATGAAAATTGAACACACTGTAAGGAGTCAGTAGTTAGTGGCTACTGTATTGGACAGGGCACTTACAGAACATCTCCTCACTGCAGCAGCTTCTAGTGGCCAGTGCTGGCTAGACTGCCTTTATGCTGATCGCTTCATTTTATTTTAGACTTTGTCTCGTGAGCTAATTACTTCCTAGCCTGACAGATGCCCATGTCTGGCAATACGTCCGTATCAGTTGTGTCTGCTGAACTTTTACATCTTTACCAGTTCTGGTTTGTAATGAAACTCATTTTTTCTCATAAATTAAACTTTTTTCTTTTTTTTAAAGAAATACCAGGAGTCCGTTCGTCAAAGATATAATAAAATCGCATATGCTGATCCTCATCTCTGGATGCAGGCAGAAAACAAGGGTGAGTGTTTCCCCCATGTTTCCCCTAACATTTTATTCTGAAAAATTTCAAACATACAGAAAACTGAAAAACTTGTAAAGTAAACACTCATATACTCACCTTCTAGATTCTACAATTAGCATTTCACTCTCTTTGCTTTGTCACATATCTGTTTATCCCTCTATCCATCCATCAGTTCATCTTATCTTTGCATTTCAAAGTTGCAGATACCCCTAAAGTGTGCTTATTATCAACTAGAGTTTAATATTTACTTATGGCTCTTTTTTCAAGATAAAATTTACAGATGATAAAATGCACAGATCCTAACTGTGCTATTTGGTGGTTTTTGACAACTGGATAACATATCTGTTATGCAAACCCCTATCAAGATACGGAACATATCACCTCAGAAAGTTCCCTCATGCCCTGCCACGTAGGCAACCACTGTGCTTTCTGAGTTAGCTTTGATTGTCTAGAGTTTCATAGAAATGCAGTCATACGACGTGTACCCTTTTGCCTAGACTTCTTTCAGTCACCATAGTGTTTTATAAATATATTTATGTCATAAATATATTAAATCTGTGTTGCTTATTTCCTGTTGCTGTTATTAACAAATTTAAGTTTGTAACAAGTTTAAGCTACATATTTGGTGGCTTAAAGCACAAATTGATTCTCCTATAGTTCTGGGGGCATTGAAAGGAGGGTGTTGGCAAGTTCATTCTGGAGCCTCCAGGGAAGGATCTATTCCTTGTTTCTTTCAGCTCCTAAATTTTGGGCTATTAGGAATAAATCTGCTATGAATGTATCCATGTGTATAATTTGTGTGTATATCTTAAGTTTTTCTCTTGGATGAATACCTAATAACAAACTTGCCAGATCATAAAATTAGTTTGTGTTTAACTTTATAAAAAATTGGCAAATCTTTACCAAAGCAGCCTTGTTCCAGTTTCCTACATCCTTGCCAACATTTGGTGTCATCAGTCTTTTTCGTGGTCACCATCCTGGTGAGGGTGAATAATGATATTTAGAACCTTTTCAAGTGATTTTTTTTTTTTTTTTGGAGACACAGTTTCACTCTGTTCCCCAGGCTGGAGTGCAGTGGTACAATCTCGGCTCACCACAACCTCCACCTCCTGAGTTCAAGCGATTCTTGTTGCATCAGCCTCCCAAGTAGCTGGGACTACAGGTGTGCACCACCACGCCCAGCTAATTTTTTTGTCGTCAGTAGAGACAGGGTTTTGCCATGTTGCCTTCAGGTGACCCACCTACCTCGGCCTCCCAAAGTGCTGGGATTCCAAGTGTAAGCCACCGTGCCCAGCCTCTCAAAGTGCTGGGATTACAGGCGTGAGCCCTCTCACCTGGCCCCTTTTCAGGTGATTATTAGGCATTTGTATATCTTCCCTTGTGAAGCGTCCAGAATCTTTTGTCAGTTTTTTTTGGGGGTTGCTTGTCTTTTTGAGTCATAGAACTTCTTTATGTATTCTGGGTACAAGTTCTTTTCCAGATACATGTTTTTGTTTGTTTTGTTGTTTCTCTAAAATAATTTTAAGGAGATAATTTACATACTTAAATCTCACCTTTTTAAACTGTACAATTCTTTCATTTTTAGTATATTTGCATAGTTGTGCAACTAATTCTAGAACATTTTCGTCACTCCCCGTTCTTCTTTCTCCCACCCTGGCAGCCACCAGTCTACTTAGATAGTGGTTTTACAAAACAATTTTTTTCCCATGGAAAAAAAATGGGCTCAGCTGCTTATTTCCAAAATGTTTCATTATGAACAGACATTTTTAATTTTGATGAAGTCTAACTTATCAATTCTTTCTTGAGTGATTTTTGCTTTCTATGACCTAAGAAACCTTTATCTACTCCTAAGTAGAGAACAGAGTCTCTTGTTTTCTTCTAGAGGCTTTATGGTTTTAGTTTTATGTGTAGGTCTATGATTGATCTTGCATAAAAGTTTGCCTATGATTTGAGGTAGAGATTGGGGTTCATTTTGGTTTTTCCTAATGGATGTCCATGTGTTCTAGTTCCATTTACTGAAAAGACTTTTGCTTTTCTCCTCCACTTTTCAAAATGTATACATTTGTATTTGGGCTGCAATGGCTAGGTTACTGTCACCACTTTGGCTGGGAAATGTTACTCAAATTCTGTTTGACTTGTGCTTATCAGTTACTGCCTTACTCAAGAAAAGGAGAGTAAAGTGCGGTTAAACATTACCTCTAAGGAATGTAAGCGCCCTGAGTACTCCCTCATGAAGACAAAAGGAAATGGGGGATGGAAGGTTTACCACAGCAGCCTGTGTCACATGTCATCATGTAAAATAGGACTTTGAGGTATTGTGTTAGAAAAAGTACTCTCCCTCTCAAATTCTGACCAAAAGATGAGCCATCTAAACAAAACACTAATGTGTTGCCTTTTGTGTGCTCTCTATTTTCAAGTGCTCTGTGCTTTACTCCTGTTGTTCTCTCTTCCCCTCAATCCTCCTCCAGCCTCCATTTTCATCCTCATATAATAGTCAAGCCATTCTTCAAGTCCGGGCTCAGTGATCCTGCTCGGCCTGTGCTTTCCCTGGCATCTCTGCACTGGAACTTAGCTCCCTTCCTGGCCCGTGAACGCCCATAGCACTTTCTGGCATGTCCTACCATGTGTTCAAGGTATTTGTGAAGGTGTCTGGTCTCTCTCAACTGAGCCACAGATTCTTTGAAAGCAGAGAGGTTGTCATTGTGTGTTCCTCACCGTGCCTAGAACGGGACTGGCCCGGCAAGGGTCCTTTTCATCATTGTTGAGTCAGCCCTGGGCATTTTAGCGTCTTTCTGTGTGGAAGCAGAGGAAAGGAAAGTGTTGGAGGGCAATTCGTTTCCCTGATGGTTTGGCCACTGGCCACAAAGTTAGGTTGCATCATGTAGAAGACAGTCTTACAGAGAACTTAGTGTTCTCTGTTTTCAAGGATGATTTAAATTATTAGTCACTATCTGTGACTCTGCCCAGAGTCTAGGTATGCATTTAAAAGGAGCTCTCTAGGACAGTAAGAACTGAAATGAGGTTTTGGACACATTCTGGAATCATGGAATTGTTGTAAGTCTCGTTTCTGGTTGTTCTGTTTGTTTAACTTCATCACAAAACCCAATTTAAAGTGATCTTTGTGTTGTGCGGTATCTATGTCTCTTATCCCCTCTGAGAACAATTGAAAATTGGATTGCACTCTCAGTAATAGTCTTACAAAAGCTGACTTATGTCATACTTCTGTCTGACAGCAAGAAATCATAAGCATGTAAATGTGACCCAAGTCGCTTGACATATAGATGCTCCCTACTTCAGAGAAGGACAAATTTTCTTCCTACACTTGAAATACGTTTAAAATTATAAATAATCTGAAACTCAGAAGAGCTGTCAAGCCTGCAAGTTATAGTTAATAAATTAATGTTTTGACTATCATCATGCAGATTTTTTCAGCATTGCCCAGAGACAAATTAAATCCACTAATTAAGTGTTCAGGTGTGAGTGGTTTTTTTTTTTTCTTCTTCAGTAATCAAAGCATTTAAAGGTTAAAAAACCCAATTGCTTAAGACGCCTTGAGTAGTGGGTGGCTGGGTCCTAATGGAAGCCATGTGGCCTGGGGCTTTTCATAGACCTCCTTAAGAAACCTTCCTCAGAGCAAGTTCATTATTTCTTAACACTGATTCCGCATTGGTTTCTTTGTAACATAGAAATTCACCTCTGCATTTAAAATGGGCGTTTTCCCATGGCCCTGCTAGCCAACCCCATCGTGCCTAAGAGATGCCCATGTAACTTGCTCTCAGGTTCTTGGCCACTAGGACGGCTCTAAAGTGGACACCAGCTGTTCTTTATATGCAGTGATTTTTATGACCCTCCTTTTCTAGACCAAAAAATCTCAGCAGTAAGTGAAAAGCCCCCGTCTCCTCATCTAATCAGAATCACGAAGACAGTGGAGCGCAAGGATCCAGCCGTGAACATCATGTTAGAAAGGCCCTGGAATGGCAAGTAAGTGGCAGAGACACTTTTGATTTCATTCTAGTTGGTCACCTTTGATGTTACTAGATTTTGAATTCCTGCAGTTTCCATAAGACAGAGAGAAATTCTTCCTTTGAGCAAGATCTTGCCAAAGTCCAGGGTGGCTGAGTAAATAGCATGTTTACAAGATGGGCATTGAATGTGTTGCATCTTGAGGAGCTTTTCCATGTTCAGTACCATTTAGCTGTTTTTTAATGTTGAAAGCATCACATCAGTACATGTAGGTTGTAGCGATATTCACTGCACGATTTGCTTTAAGAATGCTGTTGTCAAAGGGACGGGTATTCCCACTGGGTTGAGGGTTGGTTCATTGAAAAGGGGGAGCAATATATGGTGTTAGGATGTTGAGTTTTGTTCATTGTGAGAAAGAGAAATCAAGATGAGCCTTTGGCTATCAAACCATGAGGGTAAATTAACAGTTTAGCCTTGCTTACAGATGATCTTGAATGCTTTCATCACTTTTATTTGTTCTCAGTTCCCTGGATGAAAGTGTGGGAACAGAGGAGGGATCAGAGAAAAGAGAGGCCCCCCTTCTCTCCCTTGCAGAAGATTCTCAACAGAAAGAAGGCCGAGCTCCGCTCTTTGTCCCACCCGGTATGCGGCACAGCATCGGCGACTACTGCAGTCGTTTTGAGCAGTACCTTCGCATCGTATCTCATGAGGCTGTAGGCTCCTTCAACCCGTGGCTGATAGCTGAGAGGTCAGTGAAATGTTGCGGTCTTCTGTTTAGGAACCAAGTGCGAAATTGTTGACTTGGAAAAGGCTGGAGGAAGGATTAGCCAAGGTCTTATTCCAGGCTTTGGGGCCCTGGAGTTGCAGTGGTTGTTCTTGGGCTGGGAGACAGGCTATTTTCAGACACAGGGAACCGTAAAACAGCATGGGTGGTGCCATCCACAGGGGCGCTCTGCAGCCTCCTTTTCCTAGGCAGAGGGTCCCAGTCAGCCAGGCTGTCATCACAGAATACCATCGACTGCGTGACTTAAACAAGAACGTATTTCTCACAGTCCTGGAGGCTGGGGTGTCTAAGATCAAGGTGCTGGCAGATCGAGTGTCTGTTGAGGGCCCTCTTCCTGGCTTGCAGATGGCCGTCTTCTTGCCGTGTCCTCACGTGACAGAGAAAGGGAACTCTGGTCTCTTCTTCTCAGAAGGGCACTGATCCCATTGAGGGACCTCCACCCTCATGACCTCATCTAAACCTAATTATCTCCCAAAGGCCCCACCACAGATACTACCACATTGGGGGTTAGGGCTTCAACATACGAATGTGGAGGAAACACGGACATTCAGCCCCCAGCAATAGAAGTACAATACTCAGGAGTCAGTCAGAGCTGCTTTCCTGTTGCTGTTAATGCTAATGTTGTCCCATCAGAGAACACAAAATATTCCTGGGCAGGAAACAGCCATGACTGTGGAATCTTCTTGGTGGGGACAAATTTGCTTTTATCAGTAGCAGGCCTCTGATTTTGCAATATTTTCTTTAACCCTTCTCCTTCTTTCATTATGTGGGTAACGTAGTTTTGTGGAGTCACAAAACAAGATCCTGTAGCTACTAAATTTTGAAGAATGGGTAGCCCTTTTTTAATGTACAAATACTTAATTAAAAGATATGTGTAAATCTATTCTTTTTAAATAGGGCCCACATTTAAATTCTTCACAAGTTATCACCTTGTTACAAACATGCAAGATATTTTTCATCACTGAGCTAAGTAGTATACTATGATTACATTTATATAGTAGTATACTATGATTACATTTCTTTTTATTTGCTAGTTATTTTATATGTTTGTTAACTCTACCTACACAGTAGCCAACCTCTCAATAATATAATTTTTGTCTGGATCAAAAGTATCAGTTAATCTCTGTGACTCGGCCCCACCCTTACTTTTTCTCCTGAGACCCCTTTTCCTCCTACCTGAGTCCAGGCGGCTGCTCTCCAGATCTACTGGATGGCTTTCATCCTGGGGCTTCCCTTCCTCATCACCCTTCATGTTCGGTTACATCTCCCTGTAATAGATGCCCTGTTTTCTGACGCCCTTGTCTTCTGCTTTCTTGGTTTACTCTCTTATTTTGATGGAGCATATCCTGCTTTGTGTATTGGAGGAAATTTCTTGAAACTTACAAGTGTGAAAGTGTCTGCCTTTGTACTTGATTGATGACTTGGCTGAATTTAAAATTACTGGTTTATTTTTTCCAAAGAATATACCTTCCTTCTTTTGTGGAGGTGGAGAAGGGATTGTCATTTAGCTGCCAGAATAGGGGTGGAGTGTGTCAGTCCAACTGCTTGTTCTGCAGATTTTCAGCCAGTCTCCTCATTTTCTACCCCATACTGCACTCTGCCTTCATGATTCTCAGCACTCTCACTTCCTGAGCCTTCATGATATTTTATAGGGCAAACCGGCTTGTTTTTGCCTGGCATCCCTCCCACCCCCCGCTTACAGACTCTTAGGTTTCAGCTCCCTCTATGCTGCTAAATCAGTTATGATTCTTCTGTGTGCTTTTATCTTCTGAAAGTCTTGGACATTTCACATCCACTTGTGTCTCTTTTTGTAGATGTATGTATCTGTGTATCTATTTTCTTGTATTTAAGTGGGATTTTGGGTGGGATCAGGGATAATCACTTGTGTTTAAGCCCTCAGGTTGACCCTGAAGTCCTGAGACTTCTCTTTGGTATATATCATAGTACCCTTCAAAGTATATAAGATGCTTTGTTCTGGTAGAGACACACATTTGTCTTCACATGTATTCTTAAGGATTATCTGGGAGAAGAGAAGAAGTAAACTCGACTTGCTTCCTTTTGTTAACACATGCTCCTGTAGCATATGTACTCATTTTCTTGTAACCTGTCCGACTTGCTTAGGCTAACCGGGATATTGGGAAATGCAAAAGCAAGCCAAGGAAGATAGACTGTTCCTGGTGTGTTCTTACCACCTGATCAAATGATACATTTTGTTCACAGTTGTTAGGTAAATGTAGGGAAAATCTCTCAGCCTGTAAGGAATAACAGGTTAAAATGTAGAGGACAGAGCTATTAAAATATGCCTGGATTTTTACAGTATTTTCCTCTGCTGTTCTTTGACCCCAAGTGACAGTGCATGTGAACAGTCTAGCTCTGTTTGGTTTTTATCTCTTCTTTTTTTATTATTTTATTTTATTTTATTTTATTTTAGATGGAGTCTCACTCTATCACCCAGGCTGGAGTGCAGTGGTACAATCTTGGCTCACTGCAACCTCCACCTCCTGGGTTCAAGCAATTCTCCTGCCTCAGCCTCCCGAGTAGCTAGGATTACAGGTGCTGGCTACCACATCTGGCTAATTTTTGTGTTTTTAGTAAAGACAAGGTTTCACCATGTTGCCCATGCTGGTCTCGAACTCCTGACCTCAGGTGATCCACCCACCTCAGCCTCTCAAGGTGCTGGGATTACAGGCATGAGCCTCTATCTCTTCTTTTTTAGTTTATGGTTTGAATATTCCAAAGATGAGAGTTATGTTGATCAGATCTTTAAAAAGCATCCAAAGACAGTTGATTTCATCTAAAGCCTCTTGGGTGAGGAGAAAGTTGAGTTTTTTCCTTTCTTTTAATGTCTTTATTCCTCATTATACCTGAAGAAAAGCACTTCCAGCGATTAGCATGAGCAGGTGATATAAACTGAAGGCAAATAAAAGAGTGATGTGGAAGGAAAGGCTTAAGGTGACAGTGCTTTTATTAAAAGCAAATTCTTAAGAATTCCTGGCTTGAAAAACAATCAAGTGAATTCTGGTTGAAAAGGACAAATGAATGTATGTATTTCTCTTTACTTCCTATATCTCTATCTCACTATATGTCATTACAAGAATGAATAAAAGACATGAAACCATCAATGACAGCAAACAAGAAATACCAATAAGAATTTGGAAGCCATAAAGTAGTTAAACAAATGGTGACTGACTTAGCAGGCTAGAGAAAGCTAGGTGCCTAATGAGGAGGAAGGCAAGAACCAAGTTTTTCTGTAAAGAACATTGGTTGAGACTCAGGAATTAGAAGCATCAGATGCTTGTGAATGCATGTATGTAGGTGTATTGGGCCATTCTTGCATTGCTGTAAATACCTGAGACTGGGTAATTTATAATGAAAAGAGGTTTCATTAGCTCACAGTTCTGCAGGCTTTACAGGAAGCATGGTGTTGGCATATGATTGGCTTCTCAGGACACCTCAGGAAACGTACAGTCATGGCAGAAGACGAAGTGGGGAACAGGCACATCACATAGCAAAAGAAGGAGCAAGCAAGGGGTGGGGGAGAATGCCATACACTTTTAAATGACCAGGTCTCATGAGAACCCACTATCATGAAGACAGCACCAAACCATGAGGGATCTTCTCCCATGATCCAAACACTTCCCACCTTGCCCCACCTCCAGCACTGGGGATTACAGTTCATCATAAGATTTGAGCGGGAACAAATTATACAAACTGTATCAACAGGTGAGCCAGGAAATAGGAGGCTTGCTTGACATTCTTGTTCTTGAAAATGAGCAGACAGCTGAGATGACCAGACATTTGATAAAAGATACGTAGGCTATTATAACAGATAAGCACTCTGAGGAAGCAAAGCAGACAATACAGTGAGAAGAATAAAACATTAAAAACAGGCTAGAATTAATATTCTCAGAGAGCTAAGTGAAACTGTTATATCATGAAACAAGAACAGGATACTATAAAAAAGGAACTTTCAGGGAATGAAAAGAAAGTTCTTAGAAATTAAAAACATGATGGCTCAAGTAAACTCACTAGAAAGATCCAAAGAAAAAAGTCAAATGTTTCAAGTGGTAGAATAAAAAGACAAGAAACTAGGTAGTAGAGAAGAAATATTTTTAAAATTAGAAGCCTGTTCTAGGAGATTCAACATCTAAATCACTGGAGTTCCAGAATGTGAGAAAAGGGAAAAAGGAGGAATGGGAAATTATCACAGAAATGCTATAAGAAAATTTCCCAGAAGGCTGCCTTTAGATTGAAAGGGTTCATCAGTTGTCCTCTTGTGAGTGAGTGAAGGAATAAATGAATACAACAGAACAGAACACACCATGGCACATCATTATGAAAAGGAAATTTGAGCATCTCAATATAAGGAAAAGAAAGATGGCAAAAGATTCCAGAGGGTAAAAACTGTACACATTCAAATAATCAGAAATGAGAATGGCATATTGTTTTTAGTAGCAACACCAGAAGCTAGAAGATATTAGAGCCTACTTCCAAAATTTAACTTAGAATTATGTGCTCAGATAAATTATCAATTAAAGATAAGGGCAGATAGAACAGAAACATTTTTAGGGCTGGGTATGGTGGCTCACATCTAATCCCAGAACTTTGAGAGGCTAGGTGGGAGGATTGCTTGAGCCCAGGAGTTTGATACCAGCCCAAGCAACATAGTGAAACTTCATCTCTACAAAAAATAAAAAATTAGCTGAGCATGATGCTACATGCCTGTAGTCCCAGTTACTCAGGAGGCTGAGGTGGGAGGATTGCTTGAGCCCAGGAGGTCAAGGCTGCAGTGAGCTGAGATGGCACCACTGCACTCCAGCCTGAGTGACAGAGGGAGACCACATCTCTAAAAAAACCAAAAACACATTTTCAGGTGGGCAAAGTGTTTAAAAATTTAGTTCCCATGCTACTGGAAGATCTAAATTACCAATGCAGGATGTACATTAAGAAAGAGGAAGACTTGG